CCACGCGTGTAGGTTCACCAGTGCATCCACAACACTGTACACTTGCTCGTCACTGAGGCCGTGCAATAAGTCGTTCGTCAGACATGCCGATCCGGTCAGGTCTTCCATCAGCAACATCTTGAACGGCTTGCCTATGTCCACCAGACCATAAAACGTAGCCAATGGAAATGGCGGGACGCTTCCCTCGAGTAAAGAGTAGAACAGACATTCGTCGTTATGCATCCGTATAACAAAATGATGACTACTTTGTTCTTCGGGTTTCGTGGCAGCTTCGTCGAACTTATGAAAAATTTCTTTTATCAGCTCGGTCTGCGCGGCAAGCTGAGGGAATTTGACGATGACAGTTAAGGGCTGGTCAGCTCCGCCTTCTTCGTCGTGTTTCCAGGACAAAACTAGCCGATAGATCTGGCAAACGAATCCCTGCTTCTCCCCAATCACATGACCATCAATGCCGGTCAGGGTCCACTTCCGTCCGAAATGGCGATTTAGTTCCTTCTCTAGCCCCGCCTTTAAGTCGGGCGCCTCGTGCAACAGAGCCTTCATGCGGCACCACCAAAATTCAGCTTTGGCATTAGCCGTCCTTGCTGTGGATTTACTGCGTTAAGACGTACACAGATAACAGGTTTATCGCGCTAGGCTGGTAAACATTTTACCGGAAAAACAAGCCTGTGTTATAAATTAGAAGTGACGTTCAAACAGGACACTAAATGATGCAAAAATGACAAGTTCGTATTTAGTGATGATTCAGCCAAAGTAACTTTGGGCAACGGTTGGCACCTCCTGCTTAAATAACAGCAAAATTAAAAATTCGCTTAATCCTCTTCGCGATTATCTTGGATCACCATTGCCTAGTCTGGACGTGTCGTACGATTTGCAGTGATTCGTCGTCCGCTGCCACAAGCATCCAGATCTCTGCTTTAATTGATCGTTTTCTCTGAGTCGAGACCGAGAGCTTGCAGTTGGGCGCTTGCTGCACCTTGGGTAACAATTCGTCACCGCCGTATCCTGGTTGCTCCATCGGTCATGCGCAACTTGACTTGCCCTTTTTCTATTTCTCTCTTTTGATACTGATATGACGTCAATCATTCCCATGTGTGTTCCTATTTTTTCATTTCGTAGCTTGTCGCTGATCGAAACTCGTAACGTCCTCGTTTCCATAGCCGTTCCTGATTTCTCAATAGCTTTTATTCTAATATCGATCATATGTAGCCACTGGTAATATCATGCAGTTCATATGGTATGGTTATAATCGCAACTAATAATGCTCTGTTTGTTGTCCATGCTGCAAAACGCTTTTTAGAAAACTTTGCACCAAAGAGGTCGTCTGAGAATATTAGCCGTCTGAAGCAGATGCATTCGGTGACTTCTGTTTCTCACTATATTTAGTTATGCGAATTTACTTCACATTTTTGTATTCTCCGTGTTTATCCAGCAACTAACTTGCTTACTCTTTAACTCTAGCTCGCAAAGCTTGGTTTGGTACGGAATAAACTTCTTTCGCCTTCACCCCTGACAGCACGGCGTCGTCAGTAAATCGAAGATGATTCAGCCATCTATCACTGATTGAAAATTCTCCATCCTATTTCGTTTTGTGCAACAATGACTCAAGTAATGTGGTTAAGAGCTAGGCGATACAGTATCTCCTTGACGGATTCCATTAGAAACGTTTATTTCAAACGGATCTTCAAACAATTGGATTCTCGTACTGCAGTTGTTGTATAACTCGAATAGGAATGTATCTTTTTCAGTCTGTTGTTCTTCCAACCCATGAAAGACTACGTCACGTTTCGATAGGTCCGATGACCTGTCATAATCAATGGAAATCGTGTAGATGGGCAATTTGTATTCATCATACATTTTTGCGCAGCTGATTCGCTACTTGGAGGCGAACGGGTGTCGAATTTTCTCTTCTTATTTCGTGGTTAAACGATTTAGTAGTACAGTGAAATTTAGCACATCTTTCTTGAATTGCTTATATACATGGCATAACAGGCACGTATATCCTATCGGTTATCTTTTGTGTACAGTAACTGTATTTTTATGTACAGTAAGTGTAAGTGTTGTACAGTAAGTATTTTTGTGTACAGTATTTTTGTGTACAGTGTTATTTTTGTGTACAGTAACTGCATATATGCACGGATTTAGTCGAACGTGACACTTACCTAATAAGCGCTGCTTGTTGCTCATTGGCGAGTAACACCCGAAAGTACAGCAAGTTGTGTAAAGTTCCTCGATTTGCATATTAAGTAAATTCGGCCAAAAATATATTCCAGGTCAGAGAAACTTTATAGCGCGAAACTAGTACTTACTATCTCTGACAGAAATCGTAACTCTCAACCAGGGCAGGTGATTGGCTTGCATATTCTAGCGTGCGGATAGTTAAACAAGATCTGTTTTTCATAATTCTCTGCAATCATTTGTGGACATACGGTGGTTTCGTCAGCCTCTTCCTTCGTTTCTCACCTTTTTTCTTTGAACTTTCTGACTGAGGTACTCGCATAAACTTGCCGGAACCTGCTGCATGCCGGCCAGAGTTAAGATGCTCTTCTGTTTTTTTCGGTTTCCCGTGTCCACGCTTCGCTTCGATGGCCTGTTTACGGCGACGACTGCTTAGCTGCAATATCGAAGGCAGGAAAAAAACTCGAATTCATCTACAACGGTATCTCGGTTACAGCGAAGGTCAACGAGGGGCGATCGAAGTTCTGTTTTTATGTCGACCTGCTTTAAATCGTAGAAGAGGCTACAGGCATTCGACGTGTTCGTTAAACTTTGAAAACTTGACAATTGCATAATGGAGAGAGTGGCTTCATTTCTTGTACACGAAAATTCCTATGCACTTGATTGCTAAAATCCAGTTCCTCGTCATACCCTAGCATCTGTCCTCATGTTTTTCACATGTGGTGCTAGATAATGTTTTTTCTTTCACTCGTTTCCTCGTGTTTTGCCATTTTTGTCGTTAGGAATGCGGAGTTAGGCAAATTAGCTTCGGAAATGCCGTGTTTGTGTTGATTCAAGACTAAACACGTGAAAGTTTAAATATTAAAATATGTTCGCACCCTTGCTATATGTCAGAGACCAGATTTTATGACGTTTGGCACCGCCCTTTGCTCCTGGTTAACTTGGCAGGAGATACTTAAGCGGACTACGGCTCGATGATATTTGAATACGTACAGCAGCAAATGCATCTCGCAATATGAAATCTGGTCTCGGAGCAGCAATGCATTATCTGACAGACTTCGGCACAGCTACTTATCTTAATGCTTACGCGGTAGCATACACTGAGTACCGC